CTTTATCTTCTCGAGCTGATCTTTGAAATTTTCTGTTCAGCTCTTGGACCTTCTGATTTCATCCATTTGCTTTAGCATCTCTACGCTGGAGAGCATGTCAGTGTCTCTTCTGACATCCATTTTGATCTTTTCCTTCTTTCTTATCTCCTTACTATAGAAAATCCTACGGGGCAGTTCCACTTTGTCACGGGGGATCACGATGAGTCAGAATCTACTTGATAACACCTTACAACAACACAATTTGTGTTGTTAATTGTGGTATTCATGAAGAATACTGAAAGTACTATGGACTATCGGAAGAACAACAACTGGGTTGTTCATTAGGAGCAACGATAGCAAGACTTCATCATCACGTGTGTTCTTTGGACATGTTGTCAGGAAGGACCAGTCCCTGGAGAAGGGCATCTTTCTTAGTAAAGTGGAGGGTCAACGAAAGAGCGTTAAGACCTTCAACGAGATGGATTGACACAGTGGCAGCAGCAACACGCTCACTCAAACAGATGGTTGAATGATGTAGCATTAAGCAATGCTTAATGTTGTACATGGGGTCACTATGAGTTGGAACTAATTTAATCGCACAACCTAACAACAACAATAAAGCATAAATTGCTTTTAAACTTAGCAGCTTGAAACAACAAATGCTATTATCTAAGTTTCTGTGTTTCTGAAATCTGGGTGCAGCTTAGCTGGATGCCTGTGAGGTCTTTCACAAGCCTGCAGTTAGGTGTCAGCCGGGCTGCAGTCTTGTCTAAAGGCTTAACTGTAGGAGCATCTACTTCAGGCTCACTCAGTGATTGTTGCCAGAACTGAATTCCTAATGGGCTGTTGGACTGAGGGTCTTGGTTCCTTGCTTTCCACTGTCCAGAGGCTGCCTCTAATTTCTTGTCACTTGGACCTCTCCGTAAGGCAACTCACAACATGGTAGTTGGCTTTCATCAGAGCAAGCAGATAAGAGAAAGAGCAAGAATGAGATGGAAATTAGTGTTTTTTGTAATCTACTCTGGTATTGGAAAAGAATATTGAAGGTACCATGGACTGCCCCAAGAACAAACAAATCTGTGTTGGAAGAAGTACAACCACAATGCTCCTTAGAAGCCAAGATGGCCAGACTTTGTCTCTCATACTTTGGACTTATGATCAGAAGGGACCAGTCCCTGGAGAAGGACAACATGCTATGTAAAGTGGAGGTTCAGTGAAAAAGAAGAAGACACCCAGCGAGGTGGATTGGCACTGTGGCAGCACCAATGGCCTCAAGTGTAGCAACAATTGTGGGATGGCGCAGGACCAGTTGGTGTTTCGTTCTGTTGTACATCAGGTTGCTGTGAGTCAGAACCAACGTGATGGCACTTACTAACTCTCAGTGTGTAGCCTCACCACCTGGACCATGTTCATTCAAAGCAAGTCACTAAGCCCAGCCCACACTCAAGGAAAAGGGATTGTGCAAGAGTGTGAAGACCAGGAGCCTTCTCAGAGACTGCCAGCCACACCCTTAAATCCCATATTAATGCCAAGTTAAGCTGTTACATCTCTCTGCAGTTCTCTCCTTCCTCATACCTGACCTGGACAACTCCCACCCACTCTCTATCCCATTCTCACTTCTAAGAAACATTCGGCTGAATTTTTTCAAAGGCTAATTTGTTTGTTCTTCTGATTGTTGTTAAATGCTGTCGAGTAGATTCTAAGGAGCAGCTGGTGAGCTTGAACCACCGACCTTGCAGTTCAAATTACTTTGCCGTGTGATGCATTAGCCCACAGTGCCACACCAGGACTCCAGCTTCTGGTTGTTGTTAAGCACCGTGGAGTTGGTTCCGACTCATAGCGACCCTGCACAGGGTTTCCGAGGCTGTAAATCCTTACAGGAGCAGAAAGCCTCATCTTTCTCCTGCAGAACCGCTGGTAGTTTTGAACTGCCGACCTTGAGGTTAGCAGCCCGATTTGTAACCACTATGCTACCAGAGTTCCTTTGTTCTAGAACTAAATGCCATAAATCATTGCATACAAATCATTGGGTGGTAGCAAGCACCCCAACTACAACCCTCTGCTCAGCTGTGTTCAATAATTTATTACAATGTCCACACAAACTCAGACACCATATCACAGTTAGGGGGTTTATTAGGGAAGTGAACAGGTTAGACATTAACAGTGTTAGAAATGTTCAGAACACGGGTCTTCCAGTCAGGACAGCCTTTGTCTACTGTGCTCACAGGCAGGCCACTCACTGACCCTCAGCCTCTTGACCTGTTCTCTCTCCTGCTCCAGTAATGTTACAAAGGTCTTGGAGTGCTATTGACAAATGCCCAAGGGGCACTCAATGTTCTTCTGTAAGCCTCAGCCCTAAAGTGCTCAGCAAACCAACTGCCCCAATTCGATTCTTGGAGGCATGCTACTCCACATTGAGCCTCTTTCCCTAAA